ATAAAATAATTGCAAGCCAGAGTAAAAGGAATCAGATGAAGTTATTCAGATATATCTTCTGTGCTGAATTGAATTAACTGTAATTGGCATGTCCTTGGTAGACATCAGCTCAGAATTTTGGAGAATTTAACTTGTCTGGGTGCCAGAAGGGGCTAGGTGAGCTCTCCTCTAATTAGAAACTACTGAAATCTTTCACACACAATAAATTATATAACCTACAATAAATACGTATTCATTTCCATAGTTATTTTTAATAAAAATGGCAAATAAAAGCACATATATTAATGTAATATATGCATAATTGATAGAATAATGTTACATGGGATTTTATAAATTGATATGCTAATAACTTCAATTGTTTAGTCCAGATGATGATCTGGTCTTGGATGGTATCTGGAATCAGAGGCAACGAACTTTTAATCTTAGTCTGTGTTCAAACAGCTCCCAAGCATTACATTTAAAATAAATTGCACAATTGTTACAGAAGAACAATGTTTTCCACTCCAGTGCTGAATCAGTTAACTCACAGCGCCCAGAAAATAAAAATCTTTCTACACAAGATTTCTGAAGACGTCTGTCATTCCTTTCTTTACAAAGTTGGATACCACATTTTCCTGTTGAGCACATAAGTGGTGATGAACTCTGAAGTTAGAGTCTCTAAGTTCTCTGTGAAGGAGTTTCCACAGGTTTTCTGTACATGACTGTACATCAGGACACAGTTACGCCTTCTGAAGCAGAATCATCTCAGTGCTTCAGGGACATTTCAAAATCATGTATAGACAGGACTTGTATAGGATGTGTTTATAACAGAATACTTCTTTCAAGAGATGTCTCAGCTTCAAATTCAAGACAAATACTGAATATCAACCCATGTACTGCACATTTACAAGAGGTGTCATAGTGAAAAACATATTGTCTATCTGAGAGAAAGAGACAACCCACTTACTGAGCCTTGGTGGAAAACAAGACCTCTAGAAGTACTCTGGAAGCATTGATAGTTCAGAAGAAAATTAGGAAATGCACGAGACCTCCAGCATTGGTAACTAAAATAAAGTCTCAAGCAATAACGTGTCACATGTTTGAGGGATGGTTTGTTGGCTACATATTGCTTTCGACTGTGCTGCAGTTCTTCCTCCTGTGCTAGAAAGAAAATCAGACAGAAAAAGAATACAATGTTTACATAGAAAATTAAGCCGCTCAGATGTATTCGCTCGCTTGAGTTCAAACTGAATAGCTTTCCAGACTCCAGCTCACTCTCCATTGATCAAAACGGGATCTCAAATATCGAGCTCCAGTGTATACTCAACTATTAACAGTTTGATTTACTTATTTTAATCTGTGAACTGAATCCCACTTGGACTGTGGCAATAGGAGGCAGAATGAGGATCCAGGGAACTACAGGCCTATGAGTCTGACCATGGTTCTGGGGAAGGTCATGGGGCAGATCATCTTGAGTGACATCACACGGCATATACAGGACAACCAGGGGATCAGGATCAGCCGGTGTGGGCTTATGAAAGGTAGATCCTGCTTGAGCAACTAGATCTCCTTCTATGACAAGATGACCCACATGGTGGGTGAAGGAAATGCTGTGAATGGTGTCTACCTGGTCTTTAGTGAAGTTTTGGACATCACTTCCCATAGCATTCTCCTGGAGAAACTGGTAGCCCATGACTTGGACAGGTGCACTGTTTGTTGGGTAAAAAACTGACTTATGGCTGGACCCAGAGAGTGCTGGTGAATGGAGGTACATCCAGCTGGTGGCTGTTCATTAGTGAAGTTCCCCAGTTCAGAAGATCAATGTTGAGGCCAGTCCTATTTAGTATCCTTATTAATGACATAGATGAAGAGATTGAGTGCTCTCTCAGTCAGTTTGTAGGTGACAGCAAGTTGGGCAGTATTGTTGATCTGCTGGAGGACAGGAAGGCTCTGGAGACAGATATGGACAGACTGGAGTGACGGACTGAGGCCATCTGTGCGAGATTCAGCAAGGCCAAATGCCAGGTCCTGTCCTTGGGTCACAATAACTGCATGCAGCACTACAGGTTGGGGGAAGAGTGACTGGAGATATAGAGTTCTGCAAATCTCAATTTAAGCATGAACATCTGCTGTTAATTTTTGCACATGTTAAATATTTTTTAATTGGGTCTATAGGATTTTGATACCTCTGTCTTTTGAAATCTATGCAAACAAAATATATTTGTGCTTTATGGTGATTTTGCTATATTCTTGTCTAGCAATGTCTAGCAATTCTGTCTTGTTAGAAAGACAGAAACCGTAACAGCAATACCTCAACAGAATGCTTGATTACCTTTATTGAATAGAATTTATGAGAAATAACAATACAAAACTCATCATTTATAGTCATTATACTGCCTTTGGGAAAAAGTAGCTTCTGTCTCTGTTATTTCTAAAGCTTAAAGTGTAATTATTTTTAACCTCTTACATCAATAAACAAAGCAATCTAGATACTTCTCACAAGGATGTTATCTGCTTCAATAAAAAGGAACAAAAAAAACTACAGATATAGGAAACCATTGAAAAGCGGTAAAACACACCTGAGTTTTCCCATGGTTTTCACCTGAGTTGCAGAACTATCTCTAACAGCTGAATTTTCTTTGTACTAACCTCTGAGGAGTGTGTGTTAGGGCTAGAGGGGGCTCAAAGGCTGGTTCATGTAAAAGTTGTAACACTTCACAGTGGTGGTAAGTCTGAGGAAAAAAATAAAACGTTTCCATGAAAACCCTGAGAGGATGGTGCTCTGTGTTCCTCTTATCTACAAGCTTTTAACTAAAGTTCACCTGTTGCTTTGCCTGCATGGTGAAAGTAGAAATAAGAAGTCATTGTGATAGGTTACAGAGAAATCTAACACCTTCCGGGAATGCAACCGCTTCGGTCCTTGAGTCAGGAACGTACTTTCAAAGGCCAGTTACAGTGTTATTAAAGCAGCTTCTGTGCTTGGTGTTGAGGGTTGTCCTTGAAAAGAAGATTTTGACCTTCGTGATAATGATGCAGGGAAGAAATCCCTCACCATGTCTGCTCTCATGAGAGTCATTTAATGCCATGAGCCATGTCTAACAGGTAAAATAGATGCAGGACTTTATGTGCAGGGGATATCATCTGATCAGCCAGAGAATAAATGTACACTATGTCATTTATACACACCTAGTTGCATTCAGACATCCAGGTGTCAAAGTTCACATAAGGACCATCTCCTTGTACCTCTGTCCCCCAGGGCAATCCTTAGATGGTCACAACTTTCTGTACTGACCAGTGTTTGACTTAAAACCATTGACATTGAGGGAGAGGCTCCCTGTACCCGGATCACTACAGACCTCATGCTGAGGACTCCCTCCAACTTCCAACTGCTCTGTGCTGATGATGTTCCTTTTAGAGATAGGACATTATTTCTTGTTTGGTTTCAGTGTAACTCCATAGCAAGTATTAGTTTCAAGTAAGGTACCCTAGAAAAAATAAGCATTGACTAGGACTCACATTTTCTATTATTCTTTCTCCAACCAGCCAGTCCCTGCCTTTCTGGTGTTTTAAAAATGTTTTGGCTATGACTAAAGGTTTCTTTTTTCTTTCTTTTTTTTTTTCCTTTCAATTATGTCTCTGAAAGACTGTAAATGTTTTTATATGAGAATTGTAAAGCATTGAACGTGCATCTGGTTTTAAGTTTGGGAACTATTATAGTCAATAGCTGCTTCTATAATTTGCCCTTTTTATGCTAATACTTCCTCACCTTGAAGGGCATGTTGCTTATACATTCTTTGTTTGTGCTTCCACGTCTCATTACCAAGAGTGGCACAGCAGGTTCACAAAATTAAGAATCAAACAGACAATGGACAGGATTCTTCTCCTGCCTCTGTTTCCTGTAAATTTTCACAGATACAAGTGAAATCTTAAAGTCCATATTTTTTTCTATATTGTTCTGAGATTGGTTGCCTGCCACTTTTTGAAATCTTCTTACTCACCTAATCTCAGAACAACCTCTGATTAGCTATTCATTTCCCTTAGTGCTTACATATACAAATATACAAAATATATATATGCATGTACTATTTATTGATACAAAGATACATATTATATATATATTTGTGTATGTTATGTCATAGAAATTTATATATAAATAAGATATAAAATAAGTGCATCCAATAAAGTGTAAGAATGCAGGGTATACAACATTTTTTAATAATAATGAACAATTAAATTTAAAATTTTAATAGGAAACAATTAAATCATTAAAAGAACCAGTTTTGGAGCCCCTCACTTCACAAGGCTGCTGGACAAGCCCAAATATACTTGAGGTGGGGGAAGTTCAAGAGGGTGAGATGGTGCATCAAAGGGGTGGGAGACAGAAACACACAGTAAGACCATCACGGGGTGCACACTTGTGTTTCCTTATCCTTAGGCTGCTGACCCTACCAAAAGTTTCTGGTCTGTTCCCTTTTCTGCCCTATCCCGCAGCAGTGAAAGAAGGAACAGGTGCACAAGGGACAGCACTGTTTGGAGAAACAAGAGAAAAGGCTGATCAGCAAAAAACACATCCCATACTCTCTTAATAAAGTTCCTTAGCACATAAGTTACATTGGTAGTCCGGAGTTTCTTTCTTACGTGTGTGGCAGCAGTCTGTGAGTAAACAGGTCTATGCCACCGCTTCAGTTAAAATCCACTTCCTGTGCCCCTGGTGGGAAGCTTTGGCAGTAGAAATCCCTTTTCTGAAGCCAGTAAAAGGTCAATTGCTGATCTGAACAGAAGCCAAGTTGTAACCTGACTTGTAAACCAAGATGCTTACAACTTACAGAAGGGAGCAAGAAAGAGCTTTGAAAGAAACAAGAACTACAGCTGAATAAAAGATTGAATTATTCTCCTCGATAAATATTGATATTTTTTCTGTAGTCAGAACCATTTGAATGATTTGTTTAAATACTATGATTATTTTGTTTCCTTTTTTTAACATTCTAATGGTTATATTAAAATGTTATTTCTTTTAGCAGGTTGAAAATTATCACTGAATCCTTTTTCCTTGTCAAAAGGTGGGATCATGAGCTTTCTTTAAAATGATTTTGTTTTGGAATATTTATGATTAAACCCATACCTAATTATGACTTTATAGTCCTACTGAAATTAGTTAGGAGGCACTCAAATGAGTACAGGCTAATCTCTACCATCACACTATTGTCTTGAGAACATCATATCTGAATAAGCTTCTAGACTATTAAACGGTTTGAACTTCCTATGTGATAGTTCGGTTGCTATGCAGTTTATCCTTAACTGTTTTTAACTTCCTTAGAATTTTATGTCCTTAAGTACCTTGCCTGCCTGACTCTTGCACAGCTTAGTTTTGCATTGAATGTCCTGACTTTCTCATAACAGTGATTTGTGGAACTGAACTTATTAACTATCTGACATTGATCACTGGGCTGCTAATCTCAGGAGAGAGTCAACTGCTGTTCCCAACTATAAATGTTGCACAGAAAACCTGGATCAAGGTCTTCATCTGATGGCAGCTGATATCTCTATTACATGTAATAAAGTTCTGATTAGCCAGGAGGTAATGCTTGATAAATATGTAGCAGGACAGTCAATGACAGAACATTATGACAACTCAAAGAAAGCATATTTAGAATATTATTTAAATGCAAAAGAAAAGCTTATTTTTCATTACTCAACAGATTTCTTTCAATGTGTCCTATTAATGGTAAGTCTCTGTTCTCCTTTCTTGCAAGCTTTTTTCCACTTTTCCTTGGATACAAAAGGATTATGCAATAGGAACAATGGAGAATAAGAAAGTGGAAAGGTGCAGCACAAACTCAGCAAAATCCAATAAAACAGAGATAGAGAGTATGAAGTTTGGATCTGCTTAGAATTTATTGGTGAAATGACTGAATAGAAGAAAGGGCACTACAACATTCATTTGTAGTTCAGGTGTAATTCTGAACCAGGAGAGTAGAGAGTTTACATTCCTACTATGTTACCAAAGTACGGAGCGATAACAACAGAATCACGGGAGATTAAAAGAAAAAACCCGTGAATCATATGTTAGCTGGCTTTTTCCTCTTTTTTTTTCTTATCAGATACCAAAGTATCTGTGATGTATTAGATAATAGAAACCCAGAAAAGATTTCTGGGCTGTGGAAAACTGAAAAAAAAGAAAAAAAAGAAAAAAAATGTCTATGAATGGAGAGTGAATGTGGACATCCAGGCTTAAAATACCAGCAGGATATAAAAATGGCTTGTTCTGCTGACACCTGCAGTAGCAGATCGATTTCCTAGCACCCATCTACTCACAGTTCCTTAGGGCAACCGGACCTGAGAGGCAGTGCCTAAATCCTGATGACTCACAGACTGATGGACATGGGACAAGACAGAGAGATTAATCATATCTGAAGGGTATAATGAGATGCATCCCAAACCGGCACACTCCTCAATGGTTTCTTACTCCTCAGTAACAGCTCAGGTAGTGTGGGGAGAGGCTCAAAAACTCAACCTCCATGTCACTGTGAGCAACTCTGACCAGGTCGCCTGGGTACAGAGTCCCAATGCCTGAGGGCTTGCCAGGCTGCTCACACACATCCTGCCACTGGAGGTACTGGTGCCTCGGTGTGAGAGACTGAAATATCTTTTGCTCTAACCAAATCCATCACTCCTTTCTTCAAGGTGTTGCATTGAGCTGCATTGTTGGCGTTGTCTTGCAGCTTTGTTTTCTACAGGACAGTTTGACAATCTTAATTTCAGGTGTCTATAAAAGACGAAAATCAGCATTTCTAGGCCTGGGTTTACCCCCTCCTGACCCAGAGTTCTCAAAGAGTTCCCACAGATCATAGCCACTAGAGCACTTGAAGAGGATCAGGTTAGGGAATACTTAGCAAATGGCACACCCCTTTGGCCCTGATGGGATGAACAGACAGTGGTTGAGCAGGAGATTTGGACAAGATGACCTGTAGAAGTCCCTTGCAACCTCGAGCACACTGTAAACTAATTGAAACATGGGAGGTGAAACAAAATGGTGATCCTCTGTCTGAAATGGGGAGGGACTTTCTGTTTGATGTACTTTGGGGTAAATTGGATAGGGCAACAGATGAGACACAGAACAACATGCAAACATGGGAGGGAGGATGTTCTGCAAACCTGCTGAGGTGAAGTCAACAGACAGCATGTCTGTTGAAGGGGCAGGACTTCCAGGGGTAGTAGGGCAACGAGGCAGTGGATGACAGGAAGGAAAAAGACTTTTCCAGGAGCTGCGTTTTGGGCATCTGTCTCTTCTGTTCTTGTATCAGAGGTGTCTATAGGAGTATAATACTTCTTCATTTGACTATTAGGCAGTGAAATATTAGCCATGCTAATTATGACTATGGTGCAGATTTTATAGAATATGAATCTCCCTGCTTTCACTCACTCTGATCCTAGATGAAAAGTTAAACAGGGTGTTGTAAATTACCCACAGGGGATGACAGGATGGTACAGATGGGGAAAATTAAGTGAACATGGAGCAATGAATTGACATCAGGATCAGACTGGATCATTGCTCTTCTTGATTTCCCGGTATCATCCCTTCTTAATCTAATCTTTTTATATTGGCACGGTGTGAGAAAAGTCAGATAGGCAATTCCAATTTCTGTTTGGTCTGAAGATTGTCTTGGCAATCTGACACAATGGACGTGGCGTGGAAAATATAAAAGAAAGGAATATGAAACACAGAAGACCCTACAAGAGTAGGATGAGGAAAGAAAGGGGCTAAGAAAGAATGGAAAATCAGTGCTACAAGTGAGTATGAAACAGATGTAGGTCCCCCAAAATAGAGATGCAAAAAATGGATGAAAGTGGTGAAGAAAACAAGCACATTGAGAAATAATCATCACGTGAGAAGTTACAAGAGTATGTCAGAGTGTTTTGCGCAGCAGGCTGAATAGCAAGGTAAGAAGTGGGTTGGAGAAGAGACAGGTATTGCATGGGCAGCAAGTCCTTTCTGTCAGGCATCATTTCTGCATTATTTTATGTCTCCTCAAGTAGGATGCAGAGAGGGGAAGAGGATGTTTCAATCCTGACTGGGGCTCTTGCATGCCATCATCACAATAAGACTTAACAATCTTAATAATAGTCATTATATTTGTTTTGTTCCATCAAACACTAAGATTTCTGGGCTTTAGGAGAGCCTGAAAATTCATAATGAAAATGCAAGCTCTGTGTGCTTTAGTTCGACTTTATTTGATTGAGAACTGACACCTTGTACAGGCTCTCACTGTTCCTAAATTATTATAGAAGAAATAAAAGAAAAAAGTCTAACTTCTCTGTATGAACAGGAATGAAAGCTTAGCAGGTCTCAGGTGGTTTTGCAAGCATTCACTGTGCTACTGCTGCAGAATATGTCCCTGCATTGTGATCACTGCTGGCTGACCCACAGCTAATTTAACAACCATTTTCTTTTTCCTAAAGGAAATCAGAAGACTATTCACATAGGTCAGAATTCTATGAATTCGGACTCTCTAAGTGTGTCTCATAATAAATAAAGAGTGATTTATTTCTACTTGGAAAAGGGAATTTAGTAATTGCGAAGGACATGCCTGAGTGTCCCCTGACCAATAACAAATGGTTCATGTGACATAAGGTGTCTGTGATGAGTGCCACAGTAAGAAATAACATTTCTTTTGTCTTTCACCTTAAATATTAAGACAAATCCCGGTGCCTTAAAAATATTTAAATTAAGGAAAAACAGACTGAGTTCCATGCAGCAGAGTAGTACCTCTTACAAACCCCTGAAGTAAATGGATATGTTTTTCCAAAACAACTGTGTCACTGAAAAGCTCTTGTCACTAAAAGGTTACAAAAAAACCCTCAAAATCTTCAAACCACCAGTCCACAGATGCCAGGCAAGAGAAGTGGACTTTACAGCTTGCACAAAAGGAAAGAGGTCAAGACTTTGCCAGACCCAGGAATCTCAAAACTGTCTTTCTTAGACAATGCAAAAAGGCTGAAGCTTGTAGCTTTGTCAAGAATGCTTTTTTTTCCCTCAGAAAGGGCCAACTTTCCTTCTGTCCCTGTTACTGACCGGCTCTATGATGTAGGGGAACTCACTGAACTTTTTGGTACCACAGCCAGCCTCACTGCAAAATAAAGGCCCTTAGAGCACTGTCTTCTTTAGGATTGTGAAGCTCAATTTTTTAAGGTGTGTACACAAACCTCAGCTTGACAGAGTAAAGGTTTGTTTATTAATTATAATCTATATTTGTTGACTAGTGATTTGTGTATTTAATTGGGAACAAAGTCAGTTCTCTAATATGAATATAGGAAGGATAGAAAAAATGTTATCTCCCACTCAGATGGGATTCCAAGACACTTATTTTTAGTTCCAGAAGTACTTGACTGGGGCTAGGAGAGTGATACACAGCTGGCCAGCCTCATGCTACAATAAGGCTTCCACAAAAAGAAGGCAGCCTTGTACTCCTCCTTAAGAGAGTTGAGACAAATGTGGAGGGTCCTGAAGAACTCCACAAGCAGAAGGGTGACTGAGGGAAGTGTGATGAGATGCAGAGAGCTACTGGGAAGAGAGATACTTCTCTAAAGTAAAGAAACATTAAAATGCTCCAATAACCTAAAATATACTCTAAGTAAATACATACCTATAATATTTATATATAATAGGATATACATATATATGTATATAGGATCAGATGTACAACAACTTTGCAAAAGGAGACTTTTCATTGTGGTCAACTCATTGACCACAAGGAGGTAATGTGCCCTTGCAGAAATGATGGGCAACAACACTGCCAGCAGTTCAAGGGGAGTGATCTTTCTCCTCTACTTAGGGTTGATGCAACCACATCTGGAGTGCTGAGAGCAGTACTGGGCTCATCAGCACAAGAGGGACATAATTATGCTGACGTGAGTCCTGTCAAGGACCACAAAAGTGATTAAGGGACTGAGACACCTCTTGTATAAGGAGAAGTTGAGATAGACGGGAACATTCAGCCTGGAGAAGAGAAACCTCAGTGGATATAAATACCTGACTAAGGGGAATAAAGAAGGCAGAGCT